GACAGAAAAATGAACAACTGACGCAAAATACGAGACGATCAAAACAAACCAGGACAGAAAAATGAACAACTGACGCAAAATACGAGACGATCAAAACAAACCAGGACAGAAAAATGAACAACTGACGCAAAATACGAGACGATCAAAACAAACCAGGACAGAAAAATGAACAACTGACGCAAAATACGAGACGATCAAAACAAACCAGGACAGAAAAATGAACAACTGACGCAAAATACGAGACGATCAAAACAAACCAGGACAGAAAAATGAACAACTGACGCAAAATACGAGACGATCAAAACAAACCAGGACAGAAAAATGAACAACTGACGCAAAATACGAGACGATCAAAACAAACCAGGACAGAAAAATGAACAACTGACGCAAAATACGAGAGGATGAAAACAAACCAGGACAGAAAAATGAACAACTGACGCAAAATACGAGACGATCAAAACAAACCAGGACAGAAAAATGAACAACTGACGCAAAATACGAGACGATCAAAACAAACCAGGACAGAAAAATGAACAACTGACGCAAAATACGAGACGATCAAAACAAACCAGGACAGAAAAATGAACAACTGACGCAAAATACGAGACGATCAAAACAAACCAGGACAGAAAAATGAACAACTGACGCAAAATACGAGACGATCAAAACAAACCAGGACAGAAAAATGAACAACTGACGCAAAATACGAGACGATCAAAACAAACCAGGACAGAAAAATGAACAACTGACGCAAAATACGAGAGGATGAAAACAAACCAGGACAGAAAAATGAACAACTGACGCAACTGTGATTAAGGACACTCCCACCACACCCTGAAAAACTAACCTGATCTGGGCTCAAACGTTGGCACCTTGACCGTCTTAAGAGAATCAAGAATGAGTCTATGGTCACGTGAACCTTACAAAACAAAGGAAACGTATCAACATCAAAGGCATATATTTATTCATAGTTTTGACAAAACTTGATCATCTTAAGGAAAGGAAAAAAATTCTCCCGCCAAACAAGTTATATTTACTGGTGCAGTGTATAAAAACCGCAAAAAACTCAATCAACCAAAATAGAACAACGACAATGAAAACAAATAAAAAATTAAGTCAAAAGTAAGTCAAAAGCAAAGCACGGTACAAAAACAGAAATAGAAAGATCCAAAAAAAAAAAAAGGACGAAACGACAGAAGACAACAGGATCACAGCTTGCAGCGATTGTATAACCCTCCCAGAAACGAATTTTCGTGAGCTTAACAGGTTTTCGTGCGCATAACGAGCTTACCTTTGATTCCGAACATAAACGCTCTCAAGTTCGCCCCAGCCACTACGTAGTCCATGTGTGTTTGCTAAACATGAAAAACAATGCTATGTGTTAACATTTATCAAAGAGCACACAGTTTTCTCTCTGACTCTCTCTCTCTGACTCTCTCTCTCTGACTCTCTCTGACTCTCTCTCTCTCTGACTCTCTCTCTCTCTAACTCTCTCTCTGACTCTCTGTCTCTCTCTGTCTCTCTCTGTCTCTCTCTGTCTCTCTCTCTGTCTCTCTCTGTGTCTGTCTCTCTCTGTCTCTCTCTGTCTCTCTCTGTCTCTCTCTCTCTCTCTCTCTCTCTGTCTCTCTCTCTCTCTCTCTCTTCGTTTACGCTTTTGGTTCGCGTTATGTGAAATCATTCAATCGCTTTACTGGGTCTTCATCAATCGAAATCCCCAAAGAAAAACTTTCCTCCATAAAATACACTGACTTAATGACACCCTTAAAGAAAATACATTTTTTCAAACATTCTTCTGAACTTACATCACGCGGATCAAATTCCAGTGGATGAGGGCAGCGCTTGGGACCAGACCAAAATGGCTGTCCTGAACTTGTCAACTGTTATGAAGTTAGAACAGGACCTTCAGAATGGTTTGGATACTCAATTCATAGAAACCCTTGCTGTGCAACAGCAAAGAACAAAAGGACGTTGCGCATGTCAAGCAGACATTCAGTGACTTGTGAACGATACATCTCTCCTCATACAACGTAGTAGAAATGGAAAAGTTAAACCTAGTTGCTAAACTCCGCTTACTGCACTGTAAAAAATTTAGCCTCACTTTTTCAAAACTATCGCAAGACAATGGTGCTTGTCTAACTTGGCAAACCATGATTTCAAGGTTTTTTGGGAAATTAAAATTTTCAGAGGTAAGAATAAAGACCCGTTCATCTTGCTGGAAAACTCAGCTTACAAAGAAGGAAAGATCTTGATTGTTATTTCTAAGCTTTCCCAGGCGTCCCACTACACAATATCGCACCCCTACTCAATATACTTTGAAAGTGGTAGGGGCGAGAAATACCTCTCGCTGCACATATCATGATCTTCGCAAAATAAGGGCTGATGAAAACGGGGCTCCACTCGGCTGGCCCTCAATTCTTTTATTTAATTGTTCTTTTTCATCGTTTGTTGAAAGTTTGAAACTTGACAAGGTACGAAATAAGCTCTTTAACCAAAACTACTCCCCACTTAAAGAGGAGCCATGTTTCAGCTTCTGTATGCTACAGATCAAACCGACATTTGTTAAAGTTTGGCATCCGTGATTATCTTCTCCATCCTAAACCAACCTGGTTCCCATGTAATTCATTCTTTCCATCAAAGTCTTTTTCTGTGCTATCAATCTGATATTTTGAGATTTTCGACGCTTTGAGATAGTCTTTTACTCGAAGAAATTTAATTAGCAGTCTCTAAAAGGCATAAAAAGATTGACCCACCTGCTCAGGAGGGAAATTGTAGAGGAGTTGTTTGATGGTGTTGACATAATTTTCCTGGAATTGTAACCTGGCCCATCTCACGCAGTCTGCAAAGTCGACTGGCTTCTCGCTTACCAAACATTTCTTGATGCTCTCATAGATTTCAGTCTACAAAATTAAAAGGCAAAGGAAGGACAAATAAATAACTGAAAAATAAGGAGGTGGGTTTACCTGCCACAGACCTTTTCTTCGTCCAAGAGGATTAGCA